TGTACATCGTCGAAAAAAAATACACAACTTTGTTAAAAACATATTTAAATCTCTTCGAAAACGTGCTCTTCGCAATTTTTACTTACATGGTAGGAACTCACAATTGAGGAGGATCGAAATGTACTTTTATACAAATTTACATAATGCACATTTATCTCTTTTGTAGATATTTAGTCGCATTTATAAACATTTCGACAAAATGGACAGTGTAAATTCTTTCCACGCGGATAAGAAATCAAAGTGGATAAATTTTGAAAGAAAAACTTTTCTATATGTTACTTTCATTCTCTTGACGAGCATTGAACTCAATAGTAATGAAAAGAAATAACTACGAATTTGTCAAAAAAAAAAGTAAAAAAAGGCATTGAAAAAAAAAAAATATAACTATAACCTTTTTTTTTATAAATTGTAATCTAGATGCACAATATGTATTCTTTATCAAATTTATTAAAATTTCACTCTCTTTTGTTTAGTTAAACACATTCTGTGCATATATTAATAAACGGAAGGATGAATATTAATAAATCTATATTAATATTCATACTTCTCCATTCAGACTTAAAAAAATTACAAACTTAATTAATTATAAATGCCCAAGAAACTTCCATTCGCATTTAGGAAGAGCGAAATTAAATGCATTGTATAGTCATTTAATTTAATGCTCTCTAAAGAGCAAAAGTTGAAGTTGTATAAATAATATAAAGGAATAAAAAAATGATAGGACGATGTAAATGTAAAGCGATTAAGAATCGAAATCTTTTACTTTCATTTTACTTTTAAAGCTACTCGCGTCACTCGCGGAAATTTCTTCATTTAATCCGCACAAATTAGGACGATTGCCCGATGGCAGACGACGAATCGCGTAAGGAAGAGGTATACGGACGAGACGATTCTAATCTATCAACGTACACTGGTTTTCCATCGTGCCGCATTCGAATGTGTTTGTAAATGTTCGACGAACACTTGTCCCTCTTACTGCAGTAAGGGCACTTAAATCTCGGCTCTTTTCCGCAGTCGTACTTCATGTGAGTCTTCAGCGTCTTCTTGTATGTGTAACCGGCGTTACACCTGGGACAGTGGTATGCCATTTTGCCGGATTGCCAGAAGGGCCCGTTTTCATGCTTGACCTCGTTCCGACTATTGCCATAGTTTGCTCGCAGGATGTCCAGTATACCGGCGTCGTAGGGCTGCAGGAATCGTCCTACAAACAGGAAGA